GAGATTCCCCCCCCCCCTCCCAGCTCCGATCCTCTAGCGCTGACTGGAGGAACGGACGGGGAGGGGGCGGGTACAGCTGGCTCTGCCTCTAGGTAAGCAAAGCCAGCTGTCATTCACACAGTTGAGTGGATCTCAAAAGCATTGTTGGGATCTGTCCCGGCTGCGGCGCTCTCAGTATACCGCGAGCGGTAGCTCCTGATATACTGAGCTGTGGGTCACGGGAGGAGGTTTATATATGTCCTCCCGTGACCCCCTGAGAGAACTATGGGGAAAAACACTTACCCCATAGTTCTCTTTTTAATGAACAGTATTTCTGGCATTACACGTTCTCCGGAAAATGCCTTGCAGTTTCTCTTGAAGTGCCGCTTTAATGTTGTCCAGTAGCAAAGTCCTCCTTTTAAGCTTGTGCTGCTGGCCTTTTTGTTTACAAAGTTTGGTAGGCAAAACCCACGTGGGCATAGCCCATATACCTCCTGTACTAAATCAGCTTCTATGAATAGTGCATTTCTCTTTACAAGCAGCACAGTACCATGAATGCCATCTATAGTCAACTTTGTCAAAAGGTTAGGCTATTGTTGACAAGCTTCAGTTTAATCGTTACACAAGCTGTCCTCCCAACACAATGGAAGACAAACATTTACTTTCATGGCCAATAGTTTACATTGGTCATAGACGGTCATGGCCAAAAATATTGGCACCCCTGCATTTCTGTCAGATAATGCACCACTTCCCAGAAAAAATTGTTGCAATTATAAATGTTTAGGCATTCTCATGTTTATTTCTTTATTTGTATCGGTATGACACAAAAGTGGAGAAAAAAAGCCAAATCTGACACATTCCAAACTCCAAAAATGGACTGGACAAAATTTTTGGCACCTTCTCAAAATTGCAAGAAATAATTGCATTCCAAGTTTTTGTGGAAAAGCATAGACAATCTCAAGGTTACAAGTCCATCTCCAAAGATCCTAATGTTCCCGTGTCCACTGGGGCAAGTTAAAGCTTTTTGGTAAAGCCCATCATTCTACTAGTTTCAGAAAACAAATGAGGCCTTTTAAAGAACAAAATACAGTCCCTACAGTCAAACATGATAGAGGTTCACTGATGTTTTGGGGTTGCTTTGCTGCTTCAGGCCCTGTTGTCTTGACTGTGTGCATGGCATTATGAAATCTGAAGACTACCAAAAAATTATGGGGTGCAATGTAGGGCCCAATGTTAGAAAGTTGGGTCTCCGTCAGAGATCGTGGGTCTTACAGCAGGACAATGACCCAACGCACATGTCAAAAAGCACTCAAATGGTTTCAGACAAAGCGCTGGAGAGTACTTGACTGGCCAGCAATGAGTCCATATCTAAATCCCATAGAGCACCTGTGGCGAGATCTCAAAACAGCAAATGGGAAAAGGAACCCTTCCAATCTGGGATACCTGGAGCAGTTGGCGAAAGTAGAGTGGTCCAAAATTCCTGTAGAGAGGTGTAAGAAACCCATTGATTGGTAACAGGAAGCGATTGATTTCAGTTATTTTTTCCAAGGGCTGTGCTACCAAATATTAATTGAGGGTGCCAATAATTTTGTCCGTTCCATTTTTGGTGTTTTACGTGGAATGTGTCGGATTTGGATTTTTTTTTCTCCGCTGTGTCTTACCAATACAAACAAAAGAAATAAACATGATAATGCTAAACATTTGTAATTGCAACAATTTTCTGCGCGTAGTGGTGCATTATCTGACATGCAGGGGTGCCAAGATTTTTTGCCATGACTGTATATCACAACAGTATCTATTAGAGGTGCACCGAAATGGAAATTTTTAAAACGAAACCAAAATAAAAAAAATTGTCAGGCCGAAACCAAAACTAATACCGAAAATGTTTTTTATTTTAATTTTTTTAAATATTTTAATTTATTTTTTATAAACGTTTTATTTTTATTTTTTTACATTACTTTTAGGGGCTTTGGGGAAATATTAGGGGTCTAAACAGACCCCTGATATTTCCCTTTTTAAAATAGAAAAAGAGATTGAGAACACAGAGACCTCTATCTCTTTTTCTGTGTCCCTGGTTATCAATGAACAGGAATCCTCTGAGTGTTCCTGTTCATTGATAACATGAGTACATTGTTTACTATAACTACAACTATGAATGAACAGGAGGTGATGTAAATCACTCCCATTCATTCATAATTGAGGCTATAGTTAACATACCATGTCCTCAATTATGTACAATACACTCATCGATCGCTGAGTGTGTGTACCTTGCTCTTCTCTCTGACACGCTGTCACAGGAGGCTGGAGGCAATAAGTGAAGCCAACTTCGCAGCCAATCAGGAAGCACATCATGACCCTCCGCCTGGCTTCCTGATTGGTCAGCAAGTCAGGCTGTCTAGCAACAAGTAAAGCCGGCTTCCTAGCCAATCCGGAAGCTGGGTGGCAGGTCATGATAATCCAGGCCCACAAATGCCGGTATCGGCAAGTACAGAAAAAAATATTGGTCCTTGATACCGAAAAAACGGTATTGGTGCATCCCTAAAAAAGAATATACGGTATGGGAAATTTATCAAAACTGGAGCAGAAAAAATCTGGAGCAGCTGCTCCAATTTTGATAAATTCCCCCCAGTTTGTCTCAACAATATAACTTCATTAATGTTTATATTGCACCTAGGTGGTTAAAAAGAACTCTGCTGTGCTATAAGTATAGGTAAGGGAAGGGTGCACCTCTTTAAGCCCTGGCCGATTGTTATTTAACAACCGAACAGGTCACTCTAACTAGGGATGTACCGATACTAGTATCGGTGGTGATACTGGGTATTCGTGTAATTACTAGTTCTCGGCCAAATGCTCCGATGATTAACCCCGATACCGGAACTTGCTTACAGAGGGAGGTTTCCTCTGGCCGGCAGTGCTGCGAGGGAACATGGAGCCAGCTTACCGGCCAATCTGGAATCCAGTCGGCAGGTAAATGACTTGTCGCCCGGGTTCCTGTTTGGCCGGCCCAGTGCATATTGGCTGGGAAGCGGAAGTACCGGTATCGGCGAGTAGTGAAAGATAAATATCAGTACTCAATACCGAAAAGCCTGTATCTGTGCATACCTACTCATAATGGCAGATAGGTGTTTTTAAACGTCCTTTCCTGCTGCCCGCTCATGCGTGTGCCCCTGTGCAAAATGGTTTACGTTGTTTACAGCCAGCGTTGGCTGCTGCATACTAGCATTCTGGCAGCTATAGAGCTTCCGGAACCCTTTTATGGTGCTGGGGAGTGTGGCACCTCCACCATAGGCTATCCCGAGCTCTGCTGTCCTGTGCGAGCCAGGGACCCACACAGTGGATCTCTGCAGCTGGATCAGAGGGACATGAGCACGCCTTTACTGGCTGATCTCCCCTCTGATCACTGAACTGGTTTCAGGGTGTCATTTCTCCAGCTGCTGTAGCCGGTGAAGAAGATTGTGAAGCAGATCTGTAATAGACCCCTCCATAAAGAGGACCGTCACTGTATCTGTGTTAGCACATAGGGGGATTGCTAGCCCCCTATGTGATGGCAATAAAGTAAAAAAAAAAACTGGTCACAAAAAATACCCAACTCCTCCCGTCCCTACATACACCTCCATACAAACATAAACACGTGTCAGGTGCGAAGGTGACTATTGTGTCACACGCTGCATATCACCGCAAACGTCCGAGTCCGAGCAATTCATTTAGGGCCATTAATCACTGTTAACAGCAAATTAATGAGGGGTAAAAGCTTTTAAAGCGTAGCATATGGGCAATTTGGGGTATGGTAGTTTTTGAGACTTCACGTGCACACACAATTTGAAGGCTTTACATGTTTGGTATTTGTTTACCCGACACCACCCCATCTTTTATATTTTACCAAAAAATGTGCAGAAATAAATGTTTCAGAGCATAA